ACAATAAAAATAAAGTTTTGTTTTTAAAAATAAGTTTTAATCTCGGTTTTAATACTAAAATAACTTAACTTGTCCGAGTTGGCTCCATATTTGAAATTTCTAATTTTCGAATTTGTGTTTCATATCTTATAAAAATAAAAAAGTGAAAATTACTAAGTTTGGAAGTAAAAATAAAGTCCTTGATAAACTTCATACTACCTCCAGAAAAGAGGATGTCCTATAAGTTTTGGCCAGCTAATATCTGAGTGAGTTATATAAGAAGAAACGCTAATTCTATCTAAATATAAAACCGTACGGTGTAAACTGTTAACTTTGCATTTAGCATTATCTTGTAAAATAAATTATTAAAATTAATTCCAGCTTAGATTGTTGTAGAGTAAAGTCAGATAAATAAAGTCTCTAATCTTCAAAAAGTAAATTTTTGTTTTTTAAAAAAATATTTTCGAGCTAAATAAATTTAACTAGTGCCTGGAACTATTTGTGTATATGGAATGAAAAAATCGTTTACAGCGGAAACTCAGATCAAACCATCCATGTCATTCAGTTTTCAAATGATTCACTTCTATTTCAGTAATACTATATCTATCATACTTACCATTTTTTAGGTTTTCCTGACTGTCATCTCAGACGTGGCTGACTGGGCAGAGGAAAAACACAAACCATTGGTCTACAATTGGCAAACTTGTAAACTGCCAAACATATCGTAGACGGATGCAAAATTAGATGGGGAATTTGTAGTTTCTCCCTCGTTTAAATTACCAGGATCTGACGGTATCTATCCAGCCCTACTTTAGTGGGCATTGAATGAAGTTATACCGCACCTGGTAGGTATATTCAGATACTCTTTAACTCTGAGATATAGCCCAAAAAAAAATGGAGAGAGGTAAAAGTTGTCTTCTTACCCAAACAGAATAAGGATGTATTACGCCATCCCAAAAACATCGTCAATTAGCCTGGCATTGTTTTCTTTGAAGATATTGGAAATATTATGCGAAAGGACTATACATAAAGGATGTGATGATTACTACAGTATTACACCCAAATTAACATGCATACACTCCAACACTTCACTTAGTTGCTAGCCGGATAGAGCAGAGATCACTGGGTGTTTTGATAAACATAGAAGGTCAATATGCCTGTGATCAGACGCACATTCTAAAGTATTTATTTATTGTAGTGTTATCAGGATAACATAAGAATTTTAAATTTCACAAGAAAGTGTTCTTTAATTAGGTTTAATACCACCGATGTTAGTCCAATGGATGGCTGCCTTCTTGCTTAGTGAAATGGTAAGACGATTATCTATCGATGTCGAGTGGCCTTTGATCCTACTTAAGGTAACCAGATTGTTGATGAATACTTCGAGTAAGGCTTCGTGACATTCTAGTACTAACCCTGAGTAAATTCGTAGTATGTTCAAGGTGAGTAAATATTGCTCAGTTTTAAGTATCTAGAGAATATTCCACACTCTCAGCCTTATTTTGTTTTAGAGCAATTGGTGTAAATATGTAGTGTATTTCTTCTGCCTCTTCTGTCTTTCGTTATAACTTTGTAAGGCTTATGAAAGACATATCACCCACTCCGACCGGCACAGCAGTGCGGTGCTAAAAGCCGTGCATCGTCTAACGTCGTTTCAGTTCGGCAGACTTCGGCACGGTGTTAGTGTGCGTGCGACTAGACGTATGCGTGTAGACTAGCTGCTAACTGATTCTATCACTTTTAGACACAATTTCGGAAAAATTGAATTTGAAAATGAATAATAATACTCTCCCTAATTCACCCCCTTACGAGTGAATTTCAACCCCTGAAGTCGACTGAACGACTTGTGTAGGGGAAGGGACGGCTATTATTATTATTTGCCGTGGCGCTCCGAAGCGACTTAAGGATGATTGATGGTGCCATTTGACTTGCAGGTGAGGAAAACCCGGAAAACCTCACCCACCATCATCCAGACGATAATGTATGGCGATTTTATAATCTGCATGTCATATCAATAGAAATTGAATTTCTATTAATACGGCACACATCAAATCCTAAACCGAACCATGCAATTTAATTAAAAATCCACATGGTCTGGTCTGGGATTCGAAGCCCAGCAGTCTCGGACTCATAAACTTGCCTATAAATGAATATAAGAGCGTTAGACCGCTACACCATCGACCCGATGATCCACAAGAATCCACAACAAAATATGGGACCACCATTGATGCGGTATTTTCCAGATATTTAGAGGATATCAAGTCTCAAACTTATGTTTCTTATTTCAGTTACCATAAACCTATAGTTTCAATGATAAAAATTCCTGAATAACCTACATGTATTGTAAGATAATACAATATTAACTTCTCATTTATTCAATAAAAGAAAAAAAATTGTTTTCTTATCGGTCACCACACTCAAAAAGTGTAACTTGCATTATTATCAAAGAAAAAAAAATACTGCATAAATAAAATAAATAAATAATTATAATTGCATAAGTTGATAAAAAATGCTTTGCAATAGCTTTACCGCGGCAGTCCCCGAGTGGCACACGTATTTTATTTTTTATTACAAGTTTCTATAATATAAAATTTTACAGTCATAGATGCTGACTTACAAACAACAATAATTATGCATTAAATTTAACTTACTAAAAAAGAAAATTTATTTTTTATAGAATTTTAATGTTAGATAAAAAGTTGCTAGTTTTTTTTCTTGGACCCCAATTGTGTCATTGTAAATGTTTTTTATAGGATACTAAACGTTTAGAACAGTGGCAGCATATATCGTTTCTAGTGCCGATAAAGCACTTGCTAGAGATGATGCTGTTCTATACTTTTTAGAAGATATTATCAAATATTATGAGACTATTTTTACTGATTGTACTATTAGCAAAATAAGAAGGGGAAAGCTGAAATTAAAGGATGAGGTAATACCATGTACATTTCCAAATCTCCCTTATTTATACTTGTATTACAACAATAAAACATCTGTTAACTGTGTTTTATTTTACTCTTAAAAATATATATTGGTTCAATTCAAAAAAATTTTTGCCCCAAAATTGTACTATCAAATTACAGCATTTAAGAAACCTTTTCGAATTTGGTCATAAGTATCTTAATTTGTATTTTATATATATAAAATTAAATAATTTATCAATTAAAACATGCCAGACTTATTTAAAAATAAATACAACAGTACGGTCTGTGCTTTATTTAGCTATAAACAAGTTTATTTTTATTATTTTGACAAAATTATGTATAATTCCCATAAGAAGCCATGTATTTTGAACACTGTATGCAGTACCAACGTTCATGCGGTAAATTATAGAAGCTCAATTAGCATGCGTTTTTTGGGACCGTATTTTGAGTATGACAATTCGCCTCCTTATCTCTAGTCCTCATACTTGTGACCAACATGGATTCATGAAAAATAGATCTACAGTTACAAACTTTGTATGTTCGACACAATTCATTTCGAAAGACTTGGATAGAAGAAGTCAAGTTGATGTAATATACACAGATTTCTCTAAAGCCTTCGACAAAATTGATCATTCCATCTTGCTCCACAAGTTAAGGTCCATTGGTTCATGCGATAAAATCATTCAATTAATTGGTTCGTATTTGTTGGGTAGGCATCAATATGTTCAATTTTAGGTCCTCTTTTATAATTTTTATAAATGATATAGTCGCTAATATTGAGCATATTAAAGTTTTAATGTATACCGACGACCTAAAATTATTGCTTGAAATCAATTCTGTTAACCATTGCTCACGACTTCAAAAGTGTTTGTCTGACATTGAGAAATGTACCATAATGTCCTATATTAAAAAAGTAACACCTATAATTTTTGATTATAAACTACAGAACATTGTTCTAAATCGACCGGAATTTATAAGAGATCTCGGAGTTTATTTTGATCCTGAACTAACTTTCGTTAAACACATTGAAATGATGTTATTAGCAGCAGGTTTGTTATTCGATGCTGTAAAGAATTCCGAGACATATTCACCTTAAAACTTCTATATATTAGCTTTGTACGGTCAAAACTTGAATACTGTTCTGTTGTTTGAAATCCCGTGCATAACATTTATACTGACTTACTCGAAAAAGTTCAAAGAAAATTCATGAAATTGGCTTCCTACATTTTAGAGGGTATATACCCTACAAGAGGATATCTCCACGATTTACTAATATCTAGATTCAATTTTTCAGAACTCATGATAATCAGAAATTTCCAACAGGTACTCCTACTTTATAATCTTTTAAATGACTCAGTCGACAGTATTGATTTGTTAAATTACGTTAAACTAAAAATCCCCCATGCTTGTTTAAGAGTTTACTTGAGCTTCTACATGCCAGCTTCTAGAACTAATGTTTTGAATTCATCTCCAATGTACCAATCTATTCAAAAATATCATGAAATTGAAGACAGCTTGGATATTTTTGCAACTAAAAAAATATATGAATTAAAAGTTGTTTTTTTTTAATAATGTAAAAAAAATTATGTAAAGCATGTAATGCAATGTAGACAACCATTTTTTTTATCCTGTGTTCGGTTAGTGTTTTTTTCTTAAAGGTTTACATTGTATTGTATAGCTTTTTAACAATTTTGTATTCTGTTTTTTCTTTCCCACCCAGTAAATGATGATTACTATTGGGTGGTGTAACAAATAAATAAATACATTGTGAATAGCTGTTTAAATATTGTAGTATTATTTGAGATGTTTGTTAAAATAATTATTTGTAGCTCAAATAGATAGGTTTGCCCAATTCAACTGGTAATAATTTAAAATGTTTGGTACTATTTTTATTCTACAATAAGACATGACCCAAGAAACATCACATTCTTGAAATCGCCTGACTGGGTTTGATGTTTACCACCTCTCTACCTACCAAAAGCCTTTCCAACTTCTGTCCCTGTTATAAGTTTCATGCAAATCACACTTTTTTTTAATCATTCTTTTTTCAATATGAAGACTCATGAAAATACTTAGTTCCTTCTTGGATAGTGTTGGACATATATTATTGTGAATTTCATCCCACTCTGTGAGTTGATGGCTTATAGGTTCTAGATATACATGAATTAGAAGTACATTGAAACTATAAAAGTTACAAAATCGTCTTATGGAGTAGGGTGACCATATTTCTTCTTTTGACTCAATGCTGAATGCGAAGGTTTTTTTAGCTCCCCAGAAAGATAAAAGATAAACCACAAAAACAGAGAAGTCATGTAGAAACTAAAGGACTTATTTAGCTCCCTGAATCTTATTTGTATTAGGTATATATTACATTTCTGTTTTGCTGGACAATAATCACCTTACAAATATATCATTTTGTTAGAACAATAAGGCATTTTGCTGTACAAGATCAAATGCTGGACAGGCTTTGAAAATGCTGTACAATACAGCAAAATGCTATCGTCACCCTATCTTAGAGCCACCATATGTCGGCACGCTATTAAATCAATATATCTCAACATCCATGTAATAAAAGCAGATAGTAGAGACTTTTTAAAATTTGTCAAATGTAAAATATAATCTTCTAAAAACTAGAGCAACTAATACACGTTACACAGAGACTAATTATATGTAATAATGGCTGAATATGATGGTTGGAATTGCATTGAGCCCAGAAACATTTCCTAGAGTTGAAAAACAATATAACTCAAAAACAAAATCCACTTTTATTGTTTTTGCAACATAAACTAACAAGTGTTCTTCTATACAGTGATGATTCAACACAATTCAATCAGCCTATTGAGCATATTTTTCAGTAGAACTCTTAGCTTTTTTCAAAAAGTCTTCATTGCGATTTTTAAACTCCTCTGCAATATCAGCCATTAGAGGATCATCTGGATTAGGATATTCAAGTAACATTCTAATAGCAGTTAACAATCCTTCTAAACCTATTGTAGGTTTCCAATTACCAGCAGGTGGCATTTTTATTAAATCTAAACAAATCCTTCCATTTTCATCTATGTTGGGATGGTAAATTTTTGTTGTGAATGTTATTGAAGGTGGTGCGAAGGGATATTTTTCAGGAACAATTATTTCTAAAGTAAAAACGCCGTTTTGATAGGGACTGTCTTGAGGTCCCGCTATTTTCGCTTCCAAATGGTTAAGATTATCATCTTTTGAAAATACACATATACCCTGAGGTGGAGATTTTGACATTTTTGTTAATTCACGAGATAATCTTTGTCTCTGCATTGTTTAGTTTTACTTTTACATTATTTTGCAAGTTACGATGTATTGTTTTTTTTTTAAATTCAAACTGACAGAAAAAAATTCAGCCAACCTAACAAATTAAAATTGTCACTAATGTCTTTTCTATACTGAGATAAGAAATTGATTTACATAAGAGTCCACAGAGTTAATTTTTTGTTCACTTTTTGATTTTTTATATCTACTTTTATGTATTTTACATACCATGTTGTACCCGTCCCGTAACAAATACTTTTTAGTTCAATGTTTAGGGTATTTTACATTTTAAGGTTGAAAATAAAAATGGTCAATAAATAAAACAATACCAATCACAAAGCATGTATGTTCTAGAGACCCCACGCCAATGTTAAACTTTTAAACCAAATTAGCGCCACCTTGTGTTTGGAGCTGGAACTAAAATGACAATTGACAGATGGCGGTAAATTCAAATTGTAATTTTTAGGAGTAGGTAGTAGTTTTAAATTAAATTTTAAATGATTTCCACATAAATTATTTTATAAAATAAAGTATGGAACTAGTAAGTTCGAAACTTTTATTTTACAAAATAATTTAGGTCGATTATACCAAATTTGAAGAATTAATTTGTTATAAGGGGTCTAATGTGGAGAGTTGGTTCTGCATATTTTTATTAAATAAATATAAGATATATCAATAAATAATAAAATAGAACATTCTTAAAATATGTTTATTAATAACTTAAATAAATATTATTAGATAAAAATAAATACAAATAATAATACATAGGTATTTAACGAATACTTACTTGGAGCAAATAGATATATAATCTCAAATCTTTAAAATACCTATCAATAATTTAAATGTGAAGTAGAGACTAGGATATTACATTTTATTAATACTAAAGTTATATATTTTATAAATGTCTTTTTAACTGAGGACAAATGTAATATAGGTATTGTATTAAAAGGTGAATCCTTTTAACTATTCATTCAATGATAAATAGGTATTTTCCTTCCAAATACAGATGGTGATATTACTCTCTTATGTGAAAAATGATTTCGGAATCTAGTCCAGTGATAAATTGATTATCAATTAGTTGTTGTCCCCGTTTGTCTTTTTATGATGCAGATGCATGGTGAATATATGGTGAATCAATGAAGTTTTTCTCGAAGTTTTCAACGTAGCACCAAAATTATTGCAAAACACAGTAGGAAATAAAAAAAGCGAAACATCACAATTTTGCAAATAACCAAGACGAAACTATAAACAGAAACCAAAAGCCAAAGCCAACAAAAAAATCACTAAAAGCAGACGGAAAAATGAAACTAACCAAGAACATAAATAAATACACGTCACATCTTTGGAGTCTTTGGTTAAGTTTTTCTCCCATAAGGCTTAAAAATGGAGTAAGAAATCATAATTTCACCAGTAGCCCTATCTAGAGTTTGGAGCAAATAGCATAAAAAATGTCAGTTGTCGGTTTTGACCTTGGTCATTCACGTGGAACCTCTATGTGCTTTGTGATACCAATGCAAATTATCTTGGAGGACAATGGACAGTATCAATAGATGGCAGCAAGCTCCGTGGTGTCCAAGTCATGTCTTTGATAATTTTGTCGTCTTCGAAACGAACGTAATTTCTCTATTTACTAATAGATGGGCCCATAATCGATTCAGAATATTTGTTTTAAAAATGGAATATACGAGTTTAATTATGCTTGTTGAACATTTATTTACGATTTATTATCATTTTAGAGAATATAAACAATAGTAATTTAAATTTAGAACTCTACCCAGATGAATTTAAAAATTAAGAAAATTTTATGTATATAGAATTCTGTACTCAATGATCGAGGAAGTGCTAGCGTTCGGGCTATTTTGATGAATTTCTAACAGATGTCGCGACAGAATTGCCTCCAATGAAACGTCTATAAGGTTGTTCTACTATCTTCTCTAAAAATACAATGATGCAATGTTAAATCCATGGGCGCCGCCACAACTTTTTCCAGGGGCGGCAAGAATGCAAAATTGTGAATTCTTTAAACAAATTACAGAAATATAGGGATTTATAGACGCTATCCGCTATCGTGTAATACGATACGGAATATAATGAGCTTAGGCGTTGTTGTCAAATGCTGCCGCATTTACTGTTTCAAGGGATTAGATACTCTAAAAAATATACCGAAGGTCCAGAGGGAAAACCCGATAAGTAATAAAATTTAGTTATGAAGATATTGCCGTTTAAGTTTTTTTTTACAAATAAATGTTTGCCTTAGTTTATAGTACATATTACTTATAACGATTAAACATTGCTTTATTTTTTTTCTAAATTGACGTTTGCTATATCCTATACAGCAGAAATACATTTCAGAAATATTACAAAAATATTACATTGAAACATTTGTAATGTATTAATATTACGAAATATCCCAGAAACATTTCTGAAATGTGCCTGAAACGTAAAAATGTCCTCTAAATATAATATTTCACAGTAATATTTCTGAAATAAAAATTTGAAATCTTTTAGAAATATTAAATAGTAATATTTCAGAAATATATCCTAGATTTTTTTTCTCAAATATTATTAGACTAAAAAAAAGACATTTATACATGTTTATTTAAAATACACAAAACTCAAACAATGATTCTTAAACAAACAAATAATTAAATTTTAAACATTATTTCATAAAATATAAAAGCAAATCGTTTAATTTCCACAAATTCTTTTAAATGCACTAATCTGAAACAAAGTTTTTTTTAATAAATGCCCCAAATAAAGAAACATTTATGATTATTACAATCTGATCATTAGGACCAATTAGCAATTTTATTCTAATCTAAATTATCAATGGACGAAAAACTTGATAATCTAATATTCTACTCACTAGTATACCTTAGAGCAGGGGTGTACAACGTACGGCCCGCCAGTGTCGTTTTGGCGGCCCGTTGGCCGTTGACCAGTTTGGCCCGCCTATGTCAAATCATACATTTTTCAGTAACAAACTTGCAATTAGGCTGACGACCTTTTTTTGTAGAAAACTCGATCACTAGGATGGAATATACATTATAAGCTGACGACCATTTTTTTTAGAAGCTCAACCAGCAGGAGTAGGTTTATAAATGACAGGTGTTGACCTTTTTTCTTTTAGAAATCTGAACCGGCTCTTGTAGACTCAGGCCTCTCTTGGCGGCCCTCGTACAGTTACAGTTCTTCAAATCTGGCCCTTTGAAAATCTGAGTTGGGCAGGCATGCCTTAGAGTCTAATTATGTACACTACTGTTAACGTATAACACTTAACTGCACTATACTCTGCTTTATCACTGAACTAACTCAAAAGGCTTGGTTCTCTCGAGTCTTCTTATTAGATTGGCATTGTTGAGCTGGATAATCTCAAGGTTTCCATGTTGGAGCAGTCATTGTTGGTGACTACTGGCAAATTTTTGTATTGTATTTTCAACAGTCTCCACTTTAAGGTTCCTATGAAGGTCAGTATATACCAGGGTGCATCGACTATGTTCCTTAATACTTTATTCTGCAAATGTTGAATAACTTGGATGGTACTTTTACTAGATGTTACGATCAGATTTTGCCGTTTAAAAGCCAACCTGACAGCTCGTCATTAATAAAGCCTGTGTGTGTGTTCGTAGTTATAATTTTATGCATTTGTAGAATTTTTTGGTATTGCATAGTAACTAAAACCGCCCTTAGTGTTTGGGATTGCGCGATTTGAACACCATACATATTTTTTAAAGAATACAGTTGAATTCTGGATTTGGCTAATGACGCAGATGGAAAGCTGACCGGTAAGTTTTTTTTGGTTACCTTTTTTTGTGTATCTTCATAGAACACGTGTTTTTAGGAGCGTTTTTGTATAGCGTGTATTAACGATTTGGATAGCGATTGGTACAAAGTTTTGTACGATTACGATCTGTACAATGATTTGGGTAACGATCTATTCTTTGATATTTACCATGTTAGTGATAATGGAGAATATTTTATGGAATTTGGATGTATATGTAATGTTGTACCATACATATTTGATGTCCTGTTAATTGGATTTTCTTTGTTTTGGATGTCTTACATTCTAAGAGTTTAGTTTGTCGAGAGGTGTACAATGAGTCCATGTAGTTTGCGGCTTAAATCTTTAACATAGAGCCACCAACTTCACCATTTTGATGTCCACCTAGTATCAATCTTCTATATATATATATATATATATATATATATATATATATATATATATATATATAAAATTGTTTGACCTGACTGACTGACTGATTGACCTATCAACGTACAGCCAAAACTACTGAGCCTAGAAAGCTGAAATTTGGAACATAGGTTTATTATATAACGTAAGCATCCGCTAAGGAAGGATTTTTGAAAATTTGAACTTTAAAGGGGGGAAATGGGGGGAGGGAGCTTTTAATGAAACTCTATGTTCTTTAAAGTTAGAAACATGAAAATTTAAATTACAGCTACTGAGCATAAATAAATAATGACGTGTTTCAGGGTTTTTGGATTTTTTACATTTTAAGGGGGGAAAACGGGGGGTGAAAGTTTGTAAGGGACTATCGATTTTTTTTGTTCTTTATTAAGTTAGAAACATGAAAATTGGAATTGCAGCTACTGACTACAAATTATTAATAACGTGTTTCAGGGTTTTTGGATTTTCACATTTTAAAGGGGAAAATGGGGGGTAAAAATTTATTTGGGAGTATCCATGTTTTTGGTTCTCTTTAAAGTTAAAAACATGAAAATTGGAATTGAAGCTCTGAGTACAAATTAACAATAATGTGTTTTAGGGTTTTTATATTTTTACATCTTGAGGGGGGCAAAAGTTTGTATCGGAGTAACTTTTTTTGTTCTCTTTGAAGTTAGAAACATGAAAATTGGAATTGCAGCTAATGAGTACAAATTAATAATAACATGTTTTAGGGTTTTTGGATTTTAAAATTTTAAGAGGGGAACGGGGGGGGGTGAAAGTTTATTTGGAAATATCGATTTTTTTAAGGTGGGAACTTGAAAATTGGAATTGTAGGTTCTCATAATAAATAAATAATGAGGTGTTTCATGGTTTTTGGATTTTCACATTTTAAGGGGGGAAAACGGGGGTGAAAATTAGTAAAAATTAATAAAAATAAATAAAAATTAATAACTAAAAATTAAATCAATAAAAATTAATAAAAATGAATAAAAATAAATAAAAATGAATAAAAAAAAAATGAATAAATATAAAAAAATGAATGAAAATCGATAAAACTAATAAAATTAATAAAAAAGGAAGTCATGTATTTTTTTATATTAATAACACGCAATATGTGAGCAAAGCCGCGGGCAATAGC